TTTAGCATATCACTTTCCAATCCAAAATTTCTCTGTCCCTGCCACTGCTTTTATCTCTACCATCATTCCAGACACATGTTTACCTCATAAATATGGGCCTGGAAACTTGCTGGGATAAATGGAGGTGTATATATATTGGCAGAAGGGAATTTCAGGAGGAAATATATTAAATTCTTCCTTTAAAGAAGTGAGGGCAGTGCCCTCCCCCCTTTATTTTCACACAGACAGTCTGAGAGAGGTTATGGTGAGAGTGACCAGCCAAGGTTATCCAATGAGCTTCACGGCACAGTGAAGACATGACCCTGGATCTCCCCAGTCCTAATCCAACATACTAACTACTACAACCCACTGACACTGCAACTGGCAATGAAAGAATTAAGCATCTCCTTCCTTCATATGATTCCAAGTCTAGGTACTTTGCAAGGGAGAAGAAGCTATGTGGACTTTTTTACTTGTGGCTGTAGGGTAGCATATATTTTGCCTTTAGAGAAAGGGACTGAAAAATAAAGCAGCAGGTATAAAGCTGTGATATTAATCCTTAGAGTGACCACATTTAGAACAATGTGTGGTCTTGGTCACCCAGTTTCCAAAAGGGTATTAAAAATTCCTTTGAATGTTGCCTGACAGCTGAAAATGATAGGCAGAACTTTTACAGTTAACAGTTCAGTTCTGAGGTTTGGGGTCAATTTTAAAAAGTTCTCTGCCTTGATTCATCACCCGTGTCATCCAGAATTTATGTTTTCCACGTAGTTCAATGTTCTTTTAGTACATGGGGATTCTTTGGCTTGAATATATGGAATGGATTAAAAATAGGAAGAGCAACGATTATGATAGTTTTCATCAAGAACTGCAGGAATTAAGACTGCCAGCATTTCAGCATATTCAAAGACTTCCTGAATCATTGGATGACAGGAAAAAGTTTACAAAAACTTACAAAAAAATGAGGCAATATTGATATTAAAAACTCATTGTCAAAAATGTATCAGTGGCTTGGATCCAGCCAAGGACTTTGCAAGGATTCTTGGTCTTTCCAGTTCTGCTTTCCCCCCTGCAGTAGCCATTTCTGACCCCAGGGTTCCCAGGACCCCTGTGGACTAACAGCCACAGCAGTCGAGCCGGTATCAATGCGAGGGGTAAAATCACCTCTCCTGCCTCTTTTGTGTCTGACTTATGCTGGTCAGAAAACCGTCAAGCTACAGATGTTATACCCTGCAGTTGTTCTGGAATGCTGCTGTCTCCTTTCAGTGGGCCTTCGTCTACAAACATGCAGAGATCAGGGTCATTTGAACAGACAATCAAATTTCTATTACCTGATCATATAACTTGATTAGCTAATTGATGCTTATTCATTGTATTGTTCTTACGATCATTGTGATTAATGTGTATGTGGTTTGTGCTGGTCTATGACTATTTTAATAAACTTATGGAATCTGCTTCTTTTGTGAGTGGAAGTCTGCTCAGGCAAGAGGGAGGGGAAACAATTTTGCCCCCCTTACCCCTCCCAATTCTAGCCTCCTGACTAAAGTGGCTACTCCACATTAATTTTAATGTGAAATCCTGACCCTGTATTGGCTTTTTAAAAGTTTATTAAAGTCTCGGAATCAGAAGAACAAGATCAGCTTTTATTTTATGACTGTGGCAGCTAGACAACTTCAGGTTAGACAATAGAGATCTAAAAAAATACCTAAACCTAGAGCTTGATTCATTAAAAATTGGTGGTCTTGTAGGGACTGACAGGCTTACTTGATATATTTGTATCAGGGGTGGGGGGTCATAAGAAAAAACACAATTTTGAAAAAGTTTGGAAATGGTTTAAAGATTTTTAGAAATCTAATACTACAGTATTAAAGAAAATAATTTTGCTTATTATAACACTTTATAGAACGATATACTCTTTTTGTGATCAGTTTATAGTCTCATCATTTAAAAATTATATTAGCTTTTCTATGTATACTTCTCCAAGAAATTTATATCCATATCCAGAGCTAGTTTGGTGTAGTGGTTAGGAGCACGGACTCTAATCTTGGAGAATCAGGTTTGATTCCCCACTTCTCCACATGTAGCTGCTGGTGTGACCTTGGGTCAGTCATAAGTTCTTTCAGAGCTGTTCTCTCAAGGGCAGTTCTCAAAGGAGTTCTCTCAGCCCCACCTACCTCACAGGGTGTCTGTTGTTGGGAGGGGGAGGAAAGAGATTGTAAGCTGCTTTGAGACTCTTTTGGGTAGTATAAATCCAATCTCTTCTTCTTCTTCCATTTTGTAATAATACAATATTATTACACTAATTCTATCTTTTTTAACATTCAAAAAATAATGTTTTGTAGGACACAAGATAGTACAGAAAGAGCAACTAAAATAATCAAGGGGTTGGGCTATCTTTCCCGTGCGGGCTTAGAATGGAGTAACTCTGCCTAGGATTGCACAGTTATTTTTTTTTTACTATGGAAGAAGACAACGAATGGGAAACACAATAAAGATTTATAAAATTATAAGCAGTGCAGAAAGAAGGTTTTAAAGAATTTTTTCCTCTCTGTGTCATAACTTTCAGGGTTACCCAAAAAAGCAGGGCATTTAACATGGTACTCAGGGTAAATCAATAAAACTGATTAACAATAGGTTAAAAGGTAGTCCTCCTTCACAAAATGCATTATTAATTTTTATAATTCACTGCTGTATGAAGCCATGATGAATGCTAATTTAGGATTTGCCCGTTATAATTCTTAAAGCAGTTTGTGACTGACAAGCTCGGGCAGAATGGAAAAGGCTGTGGGGAAAAATGAATTCCCAATTGCAGAGAATGAAGCTGTATTTGTTTTCTATCAGGGATCATCGCAGTGTCAGTAACAGAGAGACTTTCTTATGAGGAGCGAATACAACAGTCTGGGAAATTACTCTTGTGGAAAGCACCAATTCTTTTTTGGAGTTTTGCAGACCCTATTCACCCACAGGTATTTTAAAGATGGCTTTAATATAGTGAAGTAAATCAACAAAGAAATCAGATATGGCAGTACTCAGAACTCTTATGCCTCTCACCCTCTCAATAATTATATTTTATAGCTAATGCTGGAGTGTCCTGATGACATCTATTGCTTCCAGTTCTCACCAAGTGACCCCAACATCATTGCAGCAGGCTGTATAAATGGACAGGTACTAGGATCTGCTATCTGTTCTATAGCCAGCATTCAGCCAGGAGTTTGCATGTATAAAAATAGGCTATTCATAACTGACCAGCAATATAGATTGTTTTCCCTCCCTGCTGCTCTGTAGAAGTTCAGGTGATAAACAGTAGCAGCATTATCCCATCTGATTGGTGGGGAGAAGCTGTAGCTAATTAGCATGAGACCAAACACCAGCTCCTCCTCATTAGGCCTAGTGTTAGTATTACTACAAAGTAATGTTATGGGCTATAAGGGAGCGCTGCCAAGAGGCCAGAGAATCCATGCAGCATGACCACATCAGAAAAACAAAAAGCTGGTCAGGATGAAATGGACTGTCAATCTTCAGCCTCTGTGGGCTTTACACACTAGGCTTTTCACTGGGCTACTAGCAGTTTCATTGCCTGACTGCCAGGACTCGAGCGTACAAGAGTTCTTGGACAGGTGGCCTGAGGGATGCTGGGGAAGATTCAGTCTGTGTATCACCAAACTCAGTTCCAATTGTAAGAGTAAGGTTATTGTACAGCACCTACTTGGCTGGAGTTTTGATGCATATTATTAGACTGTTCAAAGAAGCACCAATACAACAGGAACAGGTCAGAAGTTATTCTCCTACTTTTATGAAAGTTCCCAAACCAGCTAGTTTGCTAGTCTAAGTAGTAAAAACACTTCTAGCTACAGAGCACTGTTACCTTCATTCCACCTTCAGCTAAACAGGAGGCTAATTTGACAGTGTCTGGAATGTTCTTCCTTCCTTTAGAAGATTACCAACTTGTGTGGACTCACCATGGCACATTCCTGGTACAATTCCCTCTGTTACAGTTAGATGTATGTTTTCCAGTGAGGGACATACTATTGTCACAATTATGCAAAAGGCACATGACAAAGAATTAACTTGCAACTCCACCCACCATAATTCTGATGCAAAGTGGGGGCCCTTCATGACTACAGTTTCAGATTTCAAAATGTCCCTTATGAGCCACCTGTTCTCACAACATCTAGCAAGACCCTAAAGAAGACTCAGAAATTAATCATTGTTCTTTAGCATTTCTTTCCTTTTGAATTTGGGTCAATACATGTCAGTAAAAGAAAAACAAGGATGAGTCCTAATCATCAATGTACATGGTGTGACACAAAGTGAATTTTACTATCAGTCTATTCTCAGCTCTGTTCAGTGTTAGTGATTTCATATCACATCATTATTTGGAGATAAAGAATACACCAGTAGCCTTGGGTCATTGTGTGGGATTCCTCAATACTGGAAACAGCCACTAAAAAAATAATCTAAATATTTACTACTAGTAAGCACTTTCTTTTCTGTAACCTACCTCATTCTGTAACCTACCTCATTTTCTGTAACCTACCTCTAGATATATATTTCATCTTTCTCTCATGCTGCATACTAAAAAGAGCCTTACCTCACACTGTGTTGTCTCCTTCGCCTAGGTTGTACTGTGGGACATTTCACAGTATGAAGACAGGTTACAGAATGCAAAGACAGGCGGAGGAGGCAAGAGAACTACAGCCAATATGGTCAGCTCTCTATTATAATCAATTTCATGAGCCCCTTAGGCTCATTCAGGGAAGATATTTTTTAACTCATGCTTTAGGCATTCCAGAATACATTTTTGTAGGGACAATCTAATGTATAAACAGGAAAGCAAAGATAAAGCTACAGAAGTTTCTATTGTCACAGAAGGAAAAAGCAATTACCTGGCTCACTCTTTCTATCTGCCCATGCATGTAGTTCCCAAGGACATGGAGGACTTATCTTACATTTAAAATAATTCTATTGGAATCTTTGGTAGGTTCTGCAGCGTCTATTCTATTAGAACAGGGGGAACTGCTATTTATCAGAGATGCTCAAACAACCACTGGTTTGGCTTACAGCTGAATTTTTGTCAGTCTTTTGAGACCAGTTCAAACCTGTTTCTTGGGTTACTTTTCATGTATTCAAGTACAGTACCATATAGAGCAGAACAGTCAGCTGAGCTTTGTGCACACACTCTCTCACACAGCCCACTGAGAGTCCTTTTCTCTCTTGCACGCCCACAGACCTGTTGCTGCTGCATGCAGCTTGGCAGCCAATCATATAAATAAACAGTGAGCAAACTGTTCAGTCAGCCAACGATTATAAGCAAACATTATATTCTTAAAAAAAAAATCTTACCATTTGGTGTTTTAAGTCCATACACAAGTTTTTGTGCACATCCATTTTCACACAGTCTTAGGTGGGACATCATTCCCCCCCCCCATGTCATTTAGTTACCTCAGCCATCCAGCCATGACTCTGGCTAGAATCATCTCTCCCACTGCACCAATGCAAAAGCTCCCTCAAGAGAAGGGAATGAAGCTCCACCACCAGAGTTGTTGTGCAACTACAAAGTTGTTTGGCAGCTTTTTGAGGCAGAAGGTGGACAGGTAGACAAGCTGCAGGTCTGATTGCAGCTGTTGAACATGGTGTGTTCATCTATTCAACGTGTTCACCTCAAAGTTCACAGTATCCCTACTTTTATTGAGTGCCAAGAATCTGGGACAGTCAGCGAGACCAGATTGTATCACTGAATTTCTGGGTTTTGTTGTGTGCTGTATGTTCCTAACAAAATTTGTTAGAATTTAAAAATACAAATGGAAGCTGAATGTGTGTTCACCAGACTTAATTTGTCTTCCTGAACTTCAAAAAAGGCTATAGATTTGTGGGATAAAGTTAAAATAGCATGTGTATATATAGTTACCCAGATCTGGATGGCCCAGGCTTGGAAGCTAAATAGAGTTGGCCCTGGTTAGTATTGGGATGGGAGACCACCAAGGAAGGCCGGGGTCATGATGCAGAGGCAGGCAATGGCAAACCACCTCTGAACATTTCTTACCTAAGGGGTCACCATAAGTCAGCTGCACTTGACAGCCCTTAAGACATGCATATGTAAAGTTCCTGAAAACTGAAAAGTCCATGTTCACTTTTAGCCATCGTTCATTGTGGAGCAACAACTCGCAAAAGAGCTGCACATGGTGAGATACTGCGCAGTCTCTTCCATAGAATATGGCCACAAATCAGTTGTTACGGATATTCAGTGGCTCCCGGACACTTTTGAGGTACGATTCAATTATTACTGAATAGGAATCCTGTGGCATTTTTGAGACTAAACCATTGTATTCCAGCCCACTGCTTCAGATGCAATTCATGGATCCTCAATGTGCAAATATTTCATGTAGATGGTATGAGAAAAAACATAGCAGGGTCAAGGGGCCATGAAATGCAATTATGTAAAATTCATATTTAATAAAACCCAGTGAGTAGGCACAGAGACCTGGGCTTCTGAAGAGGGTCTCACCTGGGAGGCTGGACAATATGGTAGAAGATGATCTCTCAAGTACCCCAGCCCCAATCTATTTAGGGCCTTATAGGTAAGAACCTGTACTTTGAATTGTGCCCAGAATATCCCAATTAATTTGGATAGTCAGGTTATGCTAGAAATTATTTTACCATAAGGTAACATTTTGTAAATATATAAATATGGTAACTTTGGAATCCATGCATATTGGAGTGTCCTTGGTGGAACTAATACACTCTAAGAAAAGGTTGTTCAAATTGTGAACATTTATTGTTTTAAAATTTGAAGTCAGTGGACATTAAAAACAAACTAAATTTGTTGGTAAATTCTAAAGGCTGTGATGTCTGGCACAACTTTTACAGTCTTACATTCTGCTTTTTATACCGCACATAAATTGAAGAGTATCCATAACTGAAATTTTGCAAATAATATCAAAGTGTTAGCAGAGTCTTCCTGCCCTTGTGGATATTGCTCACTCATTCCATCTCCTAGTGCTAAACGTAATTTCTCTTGCTTTTTATCCTTTTGTCTTAGGTTAACAGACTGGGTGCTGTCTTTGAGAACAGAGCTGGAATTTGTGTACAACTCGTCACTTGCTCTCCTGACTGGTAGTGGTTTTTACAAGGTCTTATTGCACAAAAAGCCTCTTTTCATTCCCCCCTCCCACACCTGTTTACTCCCTCTTTCTTCCCATTGCTTCATGTAGGCAACAGCTACTTCTTTTTATATACAGACAGAGAGTGGGGGATGATTAGCCTGATGTCCTGAGCTACCAATTATTCTGTTCAAAAAATGTTACCTACAAGGTTCAGCTGTGCAAATCTTGTTCCACCTTAAAGACTGTTCTATTGTTTCATAACCATATAAGAGTATTCTTCATTGGGGTATTAACTGTTAACCATATCCAGGAACTGGGGCATGAGTCTACTTCAGTCTGTTTAAAATTCAGAAGAAGGGGACATCCTTCTAAAAGCATTCTAAAATCATCAAAGAGGATAGGCTAAACACTCACAATCAGTTTGTTCCACTCTTTCAAGTATGCAATTTGAAGTCCTATAGCCAACCACAACCCACCAGAAACTTGATAGACCCATTGTGCTCCCAACCTGTATCTGTCAATCAACAGACTTATTGTCAAGTGGTAAGATAGCTAGAAGGTTTGTTTGTTTTTGAAATGCAATAAGGGCCACTATTAAGTAGCTGCATGATTCATAAAGCTGTTAGGAGCATGTATTATCTGTGGGCACCCAATGGGATGCATCTTGGTTGCCCAGGCACTCTGTCTGTAGCACCTAATAAGATAATATGTTTGGCTCTATTCTTCTCTGCTGTCTGCTCAGATATAGTACAGCCAACCACACTGGAGGATGTCAGACCTGCTAGCTCAGCAGGCCTCCCCCACTCTTAACCCTTCTATCATTCTTTGTTTCTGTGCAGTTCAGTATTCTTTTGGGATCTCCGGGCTCAAAAACCTGGCTTCCAACCTTCAGCTGAGAAGAAGAAAGATAACAAGATAATTACATGTCCGTCTGAAGTGCCAACTACTTTCAAGCACTTAGATCTCTCCTGGAGACCCCACATTAAGGTACAGTACTACACAGATTTCTGGAGAACAGCCAAGATGTATTGATGTAACTAAAGTATGACTTTTTGTTTTATTTGTAATCTCTGCACTGTGCCTTTTCTCTTCTCCTGGCAGTAGAATTCCTTTTTGAATTATTTATGTTTTAAGGGGGGGGGGGAAATCAGAAATTCGATTACATGGGCAGAAACTCCAGGGAACCAAGAGTAGAGCCAGAAGTTGTGTACACAATCTCCTTTCACCTAACTGATTATTGTTGTTGCTTCTGACTACACTGCTAGGGGGTTGCATAATAGTTGCATTATTAACATTTGCTTCTCTCTCATCCTTCCTGACCAACTGGTAATCAGGTGATACCCACTACCTGCTGGACTAGAGTTGTATAGGCACCATACATCAAACTGTGATTGCTGGAAGGAAAAGAACTCCTCCCCTCACACACAACATCCATCTACTTATTTAATAAGTTATATTTGAATTTGCAAAACTTTCTGTAAATATATCACCCTCACACAACTCAGGTCTTGGATCCATCAGAAATGTCCATGGATAGAAGGGATATTTGACTGTGGAGTATGATATTCTTGCTTATCTTCCACTGAAACCAAAAATTCACCCCTCGTGCCGCTCTTGTGGGGACAGGGGACCCCAAGGACAGCATGAAGGCGGAGTCAGAGGTCTGCATGGGGAAGTTGGAATTAGTGAAAATCATTGCTCTCTTGCACCCATGGAAATCCTCCATGGGATCCCAACCATAATCTCTAAATACTGGAAAAAGATTTGAGCAAGTGTCAACTGATATAAGGTAAGCCAACAAATGTCTGTATGCTTTCAGGTTTACCTACCCTATTGGTATCTCACATATCCTCCCATGAGCTCTGGACACTGTATGCAGGAGGGTAATTACATTTTTAATCTTCACAAACATCCTGTGCAGTAAAGTCATCTGAAAGATTGAAAGTACAGGACCACTGGCAAACTTTTTTCAAGCCAAGGGAGAAAAAAAGAATACCACTCTCTTTACTGTATATAGGACAAAGCTATTTATTAATCTAAATACCTAATCAAACTGAATAGATTATGGCCTTTCATAAAACTGGGATTGTCGTCTGGATAAAGAAGCCTTAGATGAATATCTGTATGGATTTTAGCCAATCAGTTAATTCAGCATAAATTTGAGAAGCCAACAATTCTGAAGAAAAACACTGTACTATTTTAAGACAATTTATTAAAATATTATCACTGTCCCTTAGTTTAGGGGTCTATCCAGAGGGTTTAAAAGAGGTAGTGGTAATACCACTCTTGAAGAAACCATCGCTGGATCCTTCTGATCTGGCCAACTACTGCCTAGTTTTGAATCTTTCGTTCTTGGGTAAGGTCATTGAAAGACTGGCCACTGAGCAGTTCCAGAGGTTTCTGGAGAACACATCAGCACTAGACCCCTTCCAGTCTGGCTTTTGCCCTGGTCATGGACTGGAGACTCTACTGGTTGCCCTCACAGATGATCTCCGCAAGCAGTTGGATTGGTACTGCTGTTATTGCTTGACTTGACAGCAGTGTTCATTACAGTGGATCACGATGTGCTGGTTCACTGTCTTGCTGATGTTGGAGTACATGGTACAGCCCTGAAGTGGGTTGCCTCATTTCTCCATGGTTGGGAACAGAGGATGGTGCTGGGTAAGAGGATTTTCGGTGTTTAAAATCTACATGCACCCCCTTGCCCAGCTGGCGAGGAATTTCACGCTGGGCTGCCATCAGTACACTGATGACACCCAGCTGTATCTGTTGATGGATGGATGGCCAGACACCACCACAGGAAATTTGGCCAAGGGCCTGGAGGCTGTGGTGAGGTTACTGAAGAAGAGTCGTCTGAGACTGAATCCGTCAAAGATGGAGGTTCTCTGGCTGGATGGGGAAGACTCAGGTTTGGGGTACCAACTCCCGACTCTTGACCACGCACCTCTAACACTGGCACAGACGGTCAAGAGTTTGGGTGTGGTCCTGGATGCCTCCTTGTCAATGGAGGCCCAGGTCACCTTTGTTGCCCGGCTGGCATTTTTCCAACTATACCAGGTCAGGCAACTGGCCTCCTACCTGTCTCACCCCAACCTAGCCACAGTAATCCATGCAATGGTCACCTCTAGGCTAGATTACTATAACTCGCTTGATGCAGGGCTGCCCTTGAGGCTGATCCGGAAGTTACAGCTTTTCCAGAATGCAGTGGCTGGGGTCCTTAGGGAAAACTGATAACTGCACCCATATAACCTGTGCTTTGCCAGCTGCACTGGCTCCAAGTTGAGCACTGGCTCAGGTTCAAGGTTTTGGTCTTGGTCAATAAAGCCCTAAATGGTCAGGGACCAATGTATCTACAGGACTGCCTCTCCTGGTATGTCCCCCAGAAAGTGTTATACTCAGGAAACCAACACCTACTGGAAGTCCTTGGCCCAAAGAGTGTCCAGCTGTCCTCAGCCAGAGCCAGGGTCTTCTCAGCCCTGGCTCTGACTTAGTGGAACTCTCTGCCTAACATCAGGGCCTTGCGGGATCTGTTATAATTCCACAGGGCCTGCAAGGCAGAGATGTTCCACCAAGTATAAGGTTGAGGACAGCAATGGTTTTTCATTGCTTTTAATGGTTCCTTAGTGGTTCAACATCTAACCAGCTTTTAACTGCTTTCACACCTCCCCCCCCCAGGCTGATGTAAATTGGGGGGTCAGAAACTTGTATTATGGCACCATGCAGATGTTAGGTTTTATGGACTAGGATTTTAGACTATGTATTTATGTGTATTTTTATGAATTTGTTGTGCACCGTGCTGAGCCCGCTTGCAGAGAGGGTGGCATAGAAGTCTAAATAAATAAGTAAATTTGATCTCAGATGTCTCCATCTCTGTGATAAAAAGCTTGTACAAAATAGTTAAAACAATTAAGAGAAGCTTAATATATGACCTGTGCTCAATATGATATTAAGTTACCTTTTTTTAAAAAAAAACCTTGGGTTATCTCAGTTGACCCTACACAGCTAAATATATAAAACATTCTTAGGCTGTAGTCACACACTAAAACATTCTTAGGCTGCAGTCACACACACTAAATAATCCACTTTCAATCCACTTTCCAACTGGATTTTGCAAGTTCGCACAGTAAAAATCCAGTCTGAAAGTGGATTGAATGTGGATTATTTAGTGTGTGTGACCGCAGTTTCCTTTTATTCTTGCATTGTCTCTTGCATGTGCTATGCTGTTTGTATTGCATTGTTTTCTAATTTTGTAATGCAGAGTTTTTGTGTGTGAATTGTTTGTTGTATGCATTACACTTTTTATTACATTGTCTTCTCATTCTGTAATCCCTCTTGAATCTCAATGAGAAAGATAGACTATAAATGAAGTAAATAAATAGATTTTTTTAAAAAAATTAATTTCAACAGAGACAGTAAACATGCCCTTAACTCTAGCCAATTGAAATCAGTCATGTTCAAAAGTTCACAGCCTTGGCTGGATCATATATTGTATTTGCAACAGAACACAAACTGTTAGAAAAAAGACTCTGGTGGGTAAACAGCACTTCATTTTCCACTACTGCGAAATGTGTAGCCTCCCTTTCTGTTCCAGAGGCATACTCAGAAATGATATAAGCACATAACTCAGGTGTATTTTTTAAAAAAACTCTCATGTTGAATTTGCCCTACATCCTAACAGTTAAGTCTGCCAAAGACAGATACTGGTGGAGAGTACAGCCCAGTGAAAATGAGCCTCAGAGAGGAGCACCACCATACCAAAATACAAGGTATTGCTAAGTTTCATTTTCATGTGTCCGGGAAAATATTTCTTAATTGTTAGCATAATTAAAATTGTAGCCAAATTCAGTTTATAGTGGCTGCCAGTCTTTCATTCACCTTCTTGGGTGGCGTCATGTTCTCTTTTCTGCTTTTTCCTGTAAAACCTACATTCCGTGAAGGAAGAGTACAAATTATTTAATGCCATATATGCTTCCCAAAAGCCTGTCCACATGTTACATACTGAAACTGGTTTAACTATCATGAATTCCTCTAAAGAAATCTGAGAAGTATAATCTATGAGAGAGCTAGTGAATTCTGACTTGAAGCAACCCCATTAAACTACACATCTCAGTTGTACTTGAAGTGATTCCAGCACAATTACATTTAAAGCTGATATAGGTCTGATTAATTGTGTGTGCTATGGAACTGTCTCCTCCTCCTTGGAGCACTAAACTAGTATCTGAAAACCATTAATTAATTTTTTTAAAATCTACATTTGATTGCTGTATTTAGTGGCTTTTTACACAAAGTGTAAAATATGTGAGTTGGGAGCTTTCATTTTACACAGAACCCTTCATCAGCAAAAGGGAAAGTAGATCACCTCTCCCTAAGAACGACCAATGACAGCTGAAGGAATGTTAGGCGTTTAGAAAAGAGCTGTTAGGGGAGCAGTTAAGTGGTTGGCAGCTCAGGAGTTGGTGAGGAGAAGAGTATGTCTCACTGAGTGAAGCTGAGGGGAAGAGCAGCTTAAAGTTAAATGGAAAGAAACGTCAATTTGTAATAAAAGATCCCAAATGCTGGAATAGGAAAACAGTTCAGAAGTTGTGACCTCTACCTTACTATCTTCAGTGTTATGTTCAAACCATTAAAAAAATCTCTGTGTTATGCACTCTGTGTGAGTGGAAGAAGGGGTGTCACAATACGTTAATAATCAGCACCGTTTCTTAACAAGAACCCCATTTGCCAACCTTTGTCAGTACTCAATGGTAAATGATTAGATAACTTTGTATAGCAATAATTTTATTCTCATTCTTTTAAAGACAGGACACAACCCCAAGCCAGACAGGAGGCATCTAAAGATAAACTACCTTATAGCGAAGTAACGACCCCATCAGTGAAACCACCTAAGCTGCTAGAAAATATCACTACCAACTTTTTTGTTGGAACTGAAGTAAGCTGACATTTTAAATACTTCTTATGTGTTTATTTATTTATACATTTATTGTTTTGATTTATATCCCACCCTCCCCGTGAAGGGTCAGGGCGGCTTACAGCAATATATAATACAATTTTAAAATAAAGCAATCAAATAATACAATAAAACCAATTTAAAAACATTTGAAGTGGGCAGTGCAATACATTCAATTCCAGTTCCTACAGCCGGGAAATAAATAAATGGGCCAACACCAAGCCATAATGATCACATGCAGCAGCAATAGGGAGGGCAGCTGTTAGATGCCCGCTGCCTCAACCAAAGGCCTGGCAAAACAGCTCTGTTTTACAGGCCCTGCGAAACAGGCAGGGCCCTGATCTCAATTGGGAGCATGTTCCACCAGACTGGGGCCAGGACCGAAAAAGCCCTGGCCCTGGTTGATGCTAGACGGGCATCTTTCAGGTCTGGAACAACCAGCAGATGGCTATCCGCGGAGCGCAAGGCTCTCTGAGGCACATATGGGGAGAGGCAGTCCCGTAAATATGGGTTCCAGGCTGCACAAGGCTTTAAAGGTCAACACCAGCACATTGAAACTGATCTGATACTCAATTGGTAGCCAGTGCAATTGGCAGAGCAGCAGCTGGATGCACGCCCATGTAGACATCGCAGTCAGCAAGCACGCCACCGCATTTCATACCAGCTGGAGTTTCCAGATCAGTCTCAATGGTAAGCCCGTGTAGAGCGAGTTACAGTAATCAACCCTGGAAGTGACCATTGCATGGGTTACTGTAGCCAAGTTCTGGGGAGAGAGGTAGGGAGCCAGCTGCGTGATCTGCCAATGATCAAAGGCAGACCTGGCGACTGCAGCGATCTGCGCCTTCATGGAAAGTGAGGCATCCAAGGTCACCCCTAGAGTCCTCACCTTCTGGGTTGGCACCAACAGTGCTCTGTCTAGGGTAGGGAGCCTAATCTCAGAGTTCACTCCTCCCCGGCTCAGGTACAGAACCTCTGTCTTCACAGGATTTATCTTCAGCCAACTCTGTTGCAACCATCCAGCCACGGCCCCTAATGCCCTGTCCAAGGTCTCTGGGGCAGAGTCCGGGTGGCATCCAGCATCAGTTAGAGCTGGGTGTCATCAGTATACTTAGCAGGAAAGAGAAGAAAAAGAACTGGAGAAAACAAGATAATGGGTTGCATATTGCTACTCTGCTAAACTAAGGGTGGTGAAGTCTGTGGATGCAAGGCATATTCTACCAGTGTGAAAGTCTCCTCCGCTGGGGAAGAAAAGCTGGAAGAAGGCACTTTCCTTGCCCTGTTAGAACATGTGACCCTTAGCTAAGTAGGATGGAAGATAACAACCTTAAATATTCATGGGAACCAATGATTATGAATAAATCAGTGAATCCTTTACCTTGGATTAGCATAACAGGAAATACATTGTTAGGAATCTGTTCACCTCAGAGGGCCCATCTCACTCTCTTTTACATAGGATCTTTTGAGGTTTGACTTAAAGGTCTTCTCACAACAGAGTGTTCACTGCTATCAGAATAGCCTTGTGAGTTGCTCAACCCTCCAAAGCAAGGATCAGCATTTGAAATATAGCTTTAAGAAAGAAAAGTATACTGTAAATACAGGTCTCTGACCCTTCCCCTGTCCCTTTATGTGGGAAGGTCACAAAGACTTCTGGTCTTCAGAATAGTAAAATTACTTGAGTTTCTAGGTAAGCTAGTAGGGTTGCCAGCCCCCAGGTGGGAATGAGGGAATGCCACTGATAATTTGGAGAAAAAGGGTTCAGCATAGTAATGGGTATAATATATTGGAGAAAATGAGGCTCAATAAAAAATGCTCTATAATAGGGGCAAATCACAGATAAATTATTGTGATGGCAAGCCTAAAACAAATAATACTGTTGTGAAGTAACAATTATATTTTTTCTCTTCTTTTAGGTAGATATATATGAGCTAAAATTTTAATAGATAAATTGATGGGGATTTTTGGATTGTATTGGCGATGGGGTGAGGATTTAAAATCAAAAATCTACGTTATAACTTCCTTACACATTTAAGGTGCTAGTTTGCTTTGTTAGATTATTAAGATAAGATGTAAGACAGTAAGTTACATGTTTAAACTGGTTTAGTTCCAGGTAATGTAATGGTAAAGAGGGAGTAAGTAAGATAATGAGTAATACCTTTGTAAAGCAACACTTAGGCTGGTAAAATGTTTGTTAAATGGACTGAGGATGATTTTTATAAATAGTGATTATGGGGACTTAAAATGTATGTAGTGATTATAGTTATTTAAAAATAGGATATTGAAATATAAATGAGTGCTTAGCGGAAAGACGGATTAGAAGGTCTTAAATTAGAAATTTATAGTATATTTTCCTCATAAATCCAACACTTTAATCAAATTTGGTAGACTATTAAACCAAGGGGTTAAAAATAAGATATAGGTTGTAAATTAAGTAATGGTATAAGACTTTATGTAATACTTTTGTGAAGCAATAACTATACTTGTAGAGTAGATATATATGAGTTAAAATATCAATGGATGATCTATGTATATATTATATATGTATTGGCTACTCAAAATTAGGTTATAGAAATGTTAAGGATGGATTATTACAAGATAGAGTGGATGGGTTACAAGGAAAGGAGCAGGATATAATTTACTGATTGAATTGCCCTTTAAGTACTGTTGCAAGTAAAAACTCATAAGATAACAGGATGAAATGGTAACATTAGGATTTAATTGCCAAATGAAAAAGAATTGCTCCTACAAATTAAGTATTTAGAAGTCAGCTTAACTGAGAAGAAAGTTTTTGTTGTAGTTGGAAATACATATTGAGACATAAAATAGGGGAAGAGAGAAATATTGCGATTAATGGGTTAACATACTTTGTTGATGAAGGGACAAGATGAAATTGGCTTTCTATGTTTGTTTGTCTGATTATTTTGAAAACCAATAAATATAATTTTTTTTAAAAAAAAAAGAACCAGCCCATTATAACCTGTATTTTGTCAAAACTCCTGCTGCACCTACTTACTGCATTTTTGTGGCATTACAGGATGGCGAAATCCTTTATACAGATTGGAAGATGGAAAGAGATGGTGACTCGGGAAGATTGCTTAGTATGTTAGATTTCCTAAGCTTCATGAAAGATTGTTAAGAATATAAGTGGTACCCTACTGGATCACACCAGTAGACAATATAATCCAATATCCTATTTATTTTTTTTGTAGTGGCCAACCAGTTGTCCTGAAGGCCCAACCAACAGGGCATAGAGGCCAAGACCTTCCCCCAATGTTGCCTCTTCAGGAGATGTGGGAATTCCCTTTATCATGGCTAACAGCCATTCATAAACCTCTCTTTCATGAATCTGTCTAATGCCCTTTTAAAGCCATTCATGTGGCCATCTCCATGTCCACTGTACTTAACTGAGTAAAGCAGCATTTCAGATGCTTTCAAATTCTAATACTATGTCTGAGTGAAAAAAGTTATCTTTATCCACTTTTTCTAGGGACATACATAGTTTGATAAATCTCTGCTTCCTCGTGTTTAATCAGGTTTTAATCCATAAGAAGATCTGCCCTGTTATCTTGTGTAGAGATGTGAAGGTCCAAAAAAAGAACAGAAAGAGTCAGGGATGGGGGTGAGGACACCATTTTTTTCTGAGGACTTTCCCCCCAGGTGGGAAGATCAGTGGTTTCAAATTTCTGATCTGTAAGAATCCCCAGGGTGTGTGCCATCCAAACCTGGAAACACTAGTTTTTAATTTGCCCATTATTTCTAGAACTTCATCTCTCATCACCTCTTGTGGGACTTGTGTACTGAATCTTTTTTTTGTCAACAAAGACTAAGATGTAAACACAACAACAGAAATATTTCAAGGTCTGTACAGTTTGCACACAATACGTTATTGTGTTAAAAAGTAACCAACTAAATTGGACTCATCAGCAGGGCAGCAAGTACTGAGTTACAGGGTATTTGTGAGAGAATAATGCTGAAAATCCCACTATTAGTAGTTCAACAATTTTCAGCTCTAAATCGGTCCCACTGAAAGAGACATAAATAGCAGGCCAAACTTGTATGCACAACAGCCACTTACTGACCAGAACAGCATGGAAAGGGAATTTACCACGGATGCTAAAGAACACGCAAGAACCTGACAAATTATGAAGGTAAGGTAAACTTATGCATGTACAAAACTACTGTGTCCCTGTTTTTTTATTCAAAAGGCCAGAAGCCATCCAACATATATAATATCCATGATGGACTCGTCCATACGGTACAGAGGTCTCCATTTTTCAAAGACATAATTCTCACTGTTGGAGGCTGGAATTTTGCCATATGGAAAGAAGGAGTTACGGTATGTCCCTTGGGAATGAGAAGTCACAAACAAGGAAATGACAAATCCAAACATAGCACGCAGTGGTTCAGATGGATACAGGAAATAGTTATTTTTGCTCAACTATCCAGTAAATCCTAGCATGTTTTGAGCTCTAACAGCTCCATCAGGGAAACACTGAGTTATTGAAACGTTTCTTTCACATGCTCGAAGAGGAGTTTCCTGTAGACAACTCTGTGTTGCTATATAGCATTTCTTGGTGAACAAATAGGAAGATATTTACACAAGTCAGTGTTTCCTGATGAAGAGCTGTTATATCTCAAGATATGTTAGACAGTTTTACATGCTCCCCTGAGTGAAGAGAAATTCCAGGGGCAGTGCTGCTAGAGTTGGTTTCCACTGGATGAGTGCACACTGGAGATTTATGGCTTTTTAAAAATATTTGCCTTATTTACAAACAAACAAGTAGGGCAGAGGTGCAGGCAGAAAGGCATTCTTATAAGGCAGCAGATCCATCACCCCATGTCACATTCCTTGAGAGACCATTCATCTTTAGCGAAATCATGGGTCCCCTTCTCTCTCCTTTTTTCCTCCATCTCAAATGCTGTTTTTTCACACACTTATCCTGGGCCTTCCCTTAGCTGGAAAGTAAGTGTTTGTCACCTATCAGGAGACGACCTCCCACCCATTAGCTCCCATTGAGCATACATCTAGAGCCATCCATGAACATTGTTCAATACAATGTTCATGGCCAATACAATCACAGCTATTGCACACTTCCATAACACCAAGCATGCCATAACTGAAGGAAATGAGAGAGTAGCCAGGGATAGTCTGCTGGTATTTAAGTGAAGTTGGTGTTAAAATAAGAATCATTTCCTTGCCAAATCTATATCTGAAGAAGTCTGTTGTTGTTGTAGGGAGGAAGTGGCTTTCTCTAATGCTAGTTTTGTGAAAAATGTGTTCCATTTTGAACAGTTTGCTGCCATTGGAGTAAGATATAGGGTTGCCAGCCTCCAGGCAGGGCCTGGAGGTATTTGAGATTTACAACTAATTTCCAGACTACAGAGATCAGTTTTTCTGGATGAAATGGCAGACTCTACAGCATTGTATTTCTGCTGAGATCCCTCCCTGCACTCCACCCTCCACCCTCCCTAGGTACTACCCCCAAATCTTCAGGAATTTTCTAAGTTGGAGTTAGCAGCCCTAAGTAAGAAGTGCTAAATGATGCCTATAGACTTGAGAAACTTTCACAGTGGGAAAAAGTGAGCTACAGAGTGCTGGGAAACACACTGCTCCAACCCCTCATGGTGTTGCAAATCACCAGTTGTCCACATATTATTCATGTGGAAAAGCCATCAGGAAATGTGTGGTGACATCAGAAATGCCACAATACCATGGAATCCAGTCCACATCTTCTCCCATTCACAATGCAGAGGCATGCTCCCAGGACGAGCCCACAGAACTTCCCCCATCAGAGGTTCCCATGGCCCTATTGGCTAGAATGATAGAAACTCCAGGACAGGGTTTCAAGTCCCAAGGCGGCCCCAAAAAGTCAGCAGCAGCAGCCTTTCTTTCACATTTGTATCCCATCCTTCCTCAAAGGAGCACATACGTAGTTCTTCCCTCTTCCATATAATCCTTTTGATATGGTCTAACACAGGATGACAGAGGGAAGGAAGGAGTGCTAGCCTGATCACAGTCAGCCCACTCCATACTCTGATAGATGGGGTCAGAGAGAACCCAAAGGCCACAGCTGCCCCTCCCCCTGGAATGGATGTTACAGCAGCAGAGTGACTATACAGCCTTGTAGCTTAGTAGGAAACAGCAATGCAGTGGTGAAAAGGAGCCAGCCTTTTGAAAATCAACCTGATGACCACCACCACCATTCTAGGTGTAAAAAGTGAGACCTCCTGCTCCATAAGAGAGGTTCATGATGATGGACGTTTTGCAGCCTCCAGTCCCCATACATACACCCTTCACAGCCTTCCCCAGATTCTTTGGCGTTGGCCTTGGCTGCTTGCTGATCCCCCTTGTGCTACTGCATACTCACAGATCCATTCACATAGGAGGCAGACTGGTCTAGTCCAGTGCTGTACACCTGGGAATGGGATCTGTGTTCCCTTGCAGCAGCATCTGAACTAATAGTCCTCCCCGGAATACTTGGAAACACACCACAATCTTTTCTCTGTGCCAGTATGATGTCTTTCCATGTAGGTTCTATGGGGGTAATTCTGGAACTGAATTTGCAAGACAAATTTAAGTTTATTGACAAGGTTCTTTAACTCAAAAATAAAATCCTCCAACATACAGAATGACATAACAAGAATGTATATAGATGTACATAGGTGTAACAGCAACCTGAAACTTGCAGTATGAATTCAAGGAGGCAGTTGGTTCTTGCTTGAAACAACTTGGTGAGCCAAGTCCAGGTGCTGGATTCTCCTAATGCACTGCTCTTTCAAGGAAAGAGAACAATCGGCATCACAAATACCAGGCTACATCTTCAGTTTGATAATTATAGCCCTCAAGCAAGGTGATAAGAGCCCAGAATTTTATACAGCTCCCCCGCAAACATACTTTCCCTCTACTGCTAGCCTCTGTTCACTGACTCTGCCCATACTGGGCTAAACCTGTTAGTTCCTGGGAGTTACCCTGGCAGTGGTACTTACCCCAGCAGTGGTATGTACTTATGGCACAATGTTAATGAAACATCATAACAAAGAGGGAGATATTAACAATTCCATCCCCACCCAGAAAGTGGTGAGCTCCAGTGTGGTATAGTGAATAGAACATTGGGTTCAGATCCCAACCCTGCCATGAACCTCACAGGATGACCTAGAGCCAGCCACACTCTCTCAGCCTAATTTACCTCACTAGATTATTTTGAGAATGGGGAAGGGAAAACCATATCTGTTTATTGAAGGAAGCCTGGGATGAAGTTGTATTAGATATATAGCAGGTGTAACTTGAGGAGAGGATCACCCTGTAAGACACATAATATTTCTACCAAAATTCTTCAAATTCTATGACAGAGTTAAATCAGAATTAATAAGCAAAACAGTTAACTCATATATAGCAAAAACCTATGAAGTACATATACGAATGTTTGTAGAATGTAATGTCTTTCCATCCCAATAGTAAACATTCTGGAAATATGGTGATAAAGAGTGTTAGATTAACAGTGTTCTTGTAATGTTTGTTTTTACCACTTTTTGTTTTTAATTCAGAGTGGGCCGCTCCTTCAGTCAAGCTGTGCTGCGAAGAGATACACAGTTGGGCACTGGTCTTTATCAAGAGCAGGTGTATTCTTCATTGGTCGAGAAGATGGAAATATTGACATTTGGGACCTACTGGAGAAAACGCATGAACCATCTCAGACCCAAAATGTCTGTATTGCACTGATTACTTGCATCAAACCCTGGATCTACTCTTGTATGTCAGTGTACTATATACAGTGATATTTCTTAATTTTTTCTTTCCTTTAACTACTATAAAAAGGGGCTGTCTTTAGGACTCAGCAGCATACACAGAAAGAGTTACAGCCAAGTGGCAAGACAATCTATTTAAGAGGCAGGCAGTTAACCTGTGATGCAGAGGGTTATAAAGTGGTTTTGAAAGGCTGAGGAAGAAAAAGAAAGGGCACAAAGGGGTACCATCTATTACAGAGGCAACGGACCTAATGAGGTACAAAAACTCATCCACATGTAGCTCTTTTTCCTCAACAGAGAGGAAGACTACGCTACAAGAACATTTTATCACGAGGAGAGGGTTTATTCCACCGCACTGCAAAACCTTAGCACTATCTACACATCACACACAAATGAATCCTAGTAAGCCCTGAGACCAATGCTCCCTCTAAGCTGTGGGGTCCAATTCTACTTTGGAGCTGCTGCCATTAAAGTTATGAGCGACCGATAAATTGGTTTGCTCTGAAGCCATTCTTCCTAAGACAAAAAATGTGTGAGCCTGAAGCTAAAAAGCTCACACTAACTCAGCTTAGAGGGAACACTGAAACTATATTTTTAAAATTAAAAGCCACTTTGAGATTAGTTCAAGAGAATTATGTCAGGGGGAAATGCACATTTTAGGAACCCCATGGGAGAAAAAAGCACTTACAGATCAAAGAAACAGCAGATGATAAGAATTATGCATACCTTGCCTCCCCTGCAGCTTCTCTCCTCTAAATCCCTTCCCTTCCAGAAAAAACTTTTCTTTAAAAAAAACCACAGCCTTGTTGCTCACTTACCTTTTCTTATCTTCCTTCATGTGACAAACAGCAGTGGAGGAATCAGTGGACAGCAATCAATTTGACTGACCCAGGGAAAAAGATTAAACAGTCCCATTCACTTTGCTATTAGTCTGATCAAAGTGGAAGCTCCCTGCTTCATGGCTGAATTTGATTCAGAAGATGTAATGATTGCTCTTCCATATAACATGCTATTTGATCCTAGGAATTAACAGTCCTAAATCTTCAGACATTTGAGACCAGTGATTCTGGTGTAATTTTTTATTCTTATATCCATGTACATGGCCCAGGTACAATAAAAGGTTTGCTCCTACTTTGGTTTGCTAGTGCCTAATGTGCACACAGATAATCACCACAATTTTAACAGGCCTTTCAGTGTAATGGAAAAGAGCAAAATGGGATTGGTAGAAGTGCAGGAAGTCATAGGTCCATCTGACTTTTTAATGTGACAAGTTTCACTATCACAAGGCTGGAAAGAAAATACAAAAGTCACAGTGAAAATTTATGGCTCATTCATTGTGACTGATACACTGATCACAAACAGTCTACTCTTTTTTATGATTTCACTGATATCTTCTGTCTTCACTTACAGCAAAGCAACACTTCTTAGCAGTGTCTGATGATTTTGGTACGCTGCATATTTTAGAAATTTCCTGGACATTAAGTCATCCTTCTATTAATGAGGTTTGTAATCTGTTCCACAATACTTGGGGGCAGGGGTCTTTTCGTTGAAAAAGAGCTGCAGTAGCTCATTAGCATATGGTATGCTAATGAGCTACTAGGCTATTAGCATTGCCACACCCCCTGACATCACCGGAAGTGATGTCAGAAGGGGAAGCAAAGGGGGGGCATCTTCAAAAGCCTCCCCTTCCCTTCCCCAGCTGGCCTCCGGGGGGGGGAGCGAAGAGAGAAGGGGTTTAAAGTTTAAACCCCTTCTCACTAGAGTTGGGCCACAGAAGGAGGAAAGAGGGAAGGAAAGAGAGAGAATAGAGGGAAGGAAAGAGGGAAAGAAAGAGAAGGAAAGAAGGAAGGAAGGAAAGGGGATAAAAAGGGAGAAGGAAAGAGGGAAAGAAAGAAGGAAAGAAGGAGGGAAAGAAAAAGAGAGAAGGGAAGGAGGAGGGAAAGGGAAAGGATGGAATGAAAGAAAGAGAGAAAGGAGGAAAAGAGAGGAAGGAAGGAAGGAAGAGAAGGGAGAGAGAGAAAGAAAGAAAAGGAGGGAAAGAAAAGGAAAGGAGGGAAAGATGGCACAGAGATGGAGGGAGGAGGGAGGCTCTCCCACCACCACCCATCAAGCCCCCGCCACCCCCACCCCCACGGATCCCTTACTTACCGCTTTGGTGGGGGCCGGGGGACTCGGCTGTGGGGTTCTCCTGGCATCCCCCGAGCTGCAGTGCTTCTGCGTGAGCCCAGGGGACCTGGCGGCAGGGCTCTCCGGGCCTCCCCCCAGCTGCAGCGCTTTGGCGCAGGGAGCTGGGGATAGGGCCTGCCGCAGCCACCATTTGCCGGGCTCCTGGGTTGCCAGAGCAGTGCTCCAGCGTGCTCCGGCCCCAAAAGACCCCTGCTTGGGGGTATGGTAGGGTTTTCATGGGAATTAACATATTCATCATGTGGACTGGGAAAGGATGGTGCATACACATTGTGCCCACAGTCCCTTACTGGGCAAGGGCTTCCACTTGGGGTATGAACAACACTGAGTTAAGGCAAACTGATGCCATAAGCACAGCCCAACAATGGTGCCCCTCAGCCCTTCCATTGCTTAACTGACAAGATATTAATAAGTGCTGAAGTTGAAGTAAGAGATAAGAATTTCAGTTTTCTTCCAGGCCATCCCCCAGGCCAGACCCCACAACTATATTAAATATAAACTTTTTAGAAAATATATTTATTTAATACTAAATAGCAGTCAGCAATATAAGCAAAAAAAAACAAACTCACTCTGTGATGCCCCCCACTTCCCTTGGTGCCCTAAGCATGTGCTTATTTTGCTTAATGGTTAATCCAGGGCTGGGTAACCTCTAATTAGGGCAACTGTAAAACAAACTATAAAAGGCTTGAGTACAGTGGCACCTTTAAGACCAACAAAGTTTTATTCAAAGTGTAAGCTTTCGTGTGCAACTGTGTTTTTGTTTGAATAGCTAGGCTAAATCCACATAATGTTGAACATTTTATTGTAATCATTTGCTGGCTGGATTTTCCTGTGTGCATAAGACAAGCATGAGGTCATGATAGCATAGCAGTAGCACAATACCCGATGATACGTGGACTCAGCAAACCCTTCATGAATTAAAAATATTTTGATCATAACAGCGTTCCAGTGTTCATCATTATTTTGAGCGAGAAGTCAAACATCTCGAGTATTTTGACCAGCGACAAGAATTCAGAGCCCAAGAAAGAGTGGAAATGGAGAAAGAATCATTATTAAAGAAGGCGGTAAGATCTTTGCAAAATACAGAAAAGCTAGAACTGCAGACAATTTGATCGTGTGCTTATTTCAAGTGATTGGTCAAACATTGTTTTAACTTTTCAGTGTTAATTTACCGAACAAATTCATTGTGTATTTTCTCTGCAGCCATGTTTTGTGCGAAAAGAAATATTTCAACTGAACCTCTTTGATCTTATAGTTTATGTAATACCTGCTCCCATTTCTCAGTGGCTACAGCATGGGGATTTTTTCTTTGGTAATCATTTCTCTCTACATGGAAAAAGTAGTTAGGGAATCTTGCATAACCTAGGAATGAGAAGAGGGCAAAGGGGCAAAATGTTAACCAGTTGATAACATACACACTCCAGTGACCAAAGTATTGACATATACATAAGCCATTGATATGAATCAAAACTCTTAACAAGATCCTAACATACAGTGGAACTGGAGGTGGCAGCCCGGACTTGGAACTGTAGGCTGATAAGAGTGTGAGTTGTGGGTTTCAATCAGTGAAAATGAACTGGGGAAGAAAGAATTAAATCCCCGCACTCCCCACATGGTCCTGATTGGCTTCTATTAATATTTTTAGAATACTAGACAGATTCAGTTGCAGATTTCCTATTGCCTTGTCTGTTTTGACCGTAAATTGCCATAGCATGAGAGCACTTTTGGTGTCCTAGCAGCAGAGTTCACTTCATAGCGGTGATGCATCTTCTCTATGACATCTGTGTAAGAGACATTATGTTCCAAGGATTGTTAGAAGTAGGTCTTTTCTATGACCTAGAAAATAACTTTGTTTTTTTTCCCCACCTGTAGACAACGGTTGGGGGTCAGCGATCCAGGGAATTAATGGAAGAACAGACAAAGCAGGATTACCTGGAGTTTTTGGATACAGAGAAGAACATTCTGAAGGGACTTGGACTACTGAAGGGATTGGATAGATTTAGCCCCTGAAGACCCAACTCATTTTGTGACCAATCACTTTTATTTTATTCAGTATAGTATATGAAATATTTCATGAGTGATGTATTTACAGTGACCCTGATCCAGAAGTGTAATTTGCATCATGAATAGGCGGAATAGCCTCATAGAGAGCTGAAGTTTTGTTTAATATTGTCATTCCAGTAATCCTCAGTGCCAAACACACTGCTATCTATTTTAATAAGCAGCTTGACTCTAGCTCCATACAGGCAACCCATCCATGTGTTGCCTGACCATACAGAGAGGGAAAGCAGGCATGAGCATGCTAGTTCAGCACACACACACACCCTCCAGTGATCATATAGTTGTTTGCAGGGGGCAAACACACAGAAGTGTACTTCTTTCCTAACATTGCTGACCATGGGGAGGGAGTGTGCGGACACTTCCTCCACATGTTCAGTTCATACAGACAACTTAGCAATCGCACATTGGGTGGGGCCAATATGCTCAGACCCACTCTCCCTTCCCTATGTTGTCAGTCAATACACAGTTAGGTCATCTGTACAGGGCTAGAGACAGTTCTAGAATGTTTATCAAGAAGGACGGTTATTTTACATTCCATGTATGAAACTGTAATGTGAAAAGCAGCACTTAGTAGTACTTCAAAGAGAGTCAATGCATGCAATCACACAGAGGCAGCTGCCATGGGAAACAAAGAGCCATTCATCAGCAACAACATGCCATGTGGAGAGGCTTCCATCTCCCTCTCTGTGGAGCTTGGAGGTTTCACCACATGACAAAGCACTGCAGAGAAATTGCTCTCTATGTGTCATCAGCTGTCACAGGTAGCCATTTAAAGACAACTGCAGATGGTAGTCCTTCATATGAATGTGGATTTAAACACAAAGACCGTCTTAGAGCATGGATTTAAGAAAGCTAATCAGAGCCTCTATTAAGCCAGCAATCCTAGTTCCCATTCCAAATCAATTTGATTTTCTATCATATGCCACAAAGAATGTCCACATCTGTGCTTGATTATCTGGTCTGGCACTCACTTTATTATAAACATCTATAATCCAACATCTGCAAAGTATGGAAAAGTGAAAGGCTGTCACTCAGTACACTAAACTTGGACACAGGCTACATCAAAATGGAAACTTAGTTCTATAGCCAAATGCCTTGATACAAATTTATACAGGGGAGAGGGAGAGAAAGAATTTTGAGATCATCTCAACTGTTACGATCAGTATATTTCAGTCTGCAGACGTCAAAGGTCACACCAAACACCTAATAATGGTGACTCTGAGCAGCGTTTGACCATACCATTTTTTAAATCAACTATTTGATGACACTTGGTAGGACAGTTCAAATTGTTGACTGGTTGTATGGTCCAAATTCTCTGAGGTTCTGAGGATATAAAGATGTAAGGAACATTGCAGAACAATTAGGAACAAGGGAACTTTTTCTGTGTGGGAGGACCATATTGTAAGTTTTAATTCCCAGATCTGTAGATGCCTCATTCATAGGGGCACATATATCTCTCCATACATTCATATGTGTATGTGTACTCACTCACCTACTAGCAGAAATATGTGTATTTCCATCCGCATTTCGCCCCCCCCCCCGGCCACTCTACAGGGGCAGATTCTACAGGAAATGAAAGGAAGATAGCCCTCCTCTTAGTTTTTCCAGTAGCTTTCATATTGTTTAGGAAGCACTTTGAAAGAGGCCTGTCCAATCTTCCTCTATAAATGCCATATTCAGCTGACACAGCCCACGGAGTTCAGTTTGGGATGAGATCAAAAAAATTATTAGCTGCAGCTGTTAGACAGGGCCAGATGTAAAGAGGGCCTAATTTAAACTGAGTGCCTGATGTTTTCCACTAATACAATGAGGTGACAGAGGAAGGGAGAGGTGCTACGCTGGTTTTAGATACACGGTATAACAAGTTTAGGGAGAAATGTGAAGAGAAACTGGATTCCCCTTCAAACACCATTTCTACAGCAACGTGGAGCTAAACTTTTGACATTAATAGTGCAATCATAAGCAGAGTTAACACTCTTCTAAGCACACTGACTTCAGTGGGCTCTGCTTACTGCACAGTAGTGCAGTTTGCCAGAGACCCTTTGGGGTTGGAGCGGGGTAGAAATCGAAGATATAAATAAATAAATAAATAAATAAATTTTCTGTACCAACTAAGGTGCTGTGAATTATCTGGTAAGGTTTCCCTTGGTCGAAAGCCAGTCGAGTCCGACTCTAGGGTTGCGGTGCTCATCTCCATTTCAAAGCCGAAGAGCCAGCGCTGTCCGAAGACATTTCCGTGGTCATGTGGCCGGCATGACTAAACACTGAGGCGCACGGAACGCTGTTACCTTCCCACCAAAGTGGTACCTATTTATCTACTTGCAATTTCTTGCTTTCGAACTGCTAGGTTGGCAGGAGAATTATCTGAACACTGTTGTAAAAAACTGCTATGAATTTAGGGATGCCAGCCTCCAGGTGGTACCTGAGAATCCCCAGGAATAACATGTTGCTCATCTCCAGACTACAGAGACCAGTTCCCCTGGAGGAAATGGATGCTTTGAAGGGTGGCCTGTATGGCATTGTGCCCCACTGAGGTCCCTGCCCTCCCCAGGCTCCATCCCCAAATCTCCAGGAGTTCCCCAACCTGGATCTGGCAACTCTACCCCCCCCCCCATCCTGCACCAGGGCCCAAGGAGGACATGGTAACCCTATACGAATTGCAGTCATTTTCTTTCAATGATAGGAGAGACAAGATATATAAAGTGTGTTGTTCCTCCCAAAGGAAAGGAAATTGCAACAAAAAGTGACAGCTTTCCTTTGTTTATTGCTGCAGCTGGGAAATTATTATCTTCAAGAGAAGTTATATGACAGTTTTAATAGACACTTGCATAAAGGGAGAGTATCTCATTAATATCAACATATCTCTTTGGGGATGAAGCTTTGCATAAAAGCAGCTTTTTGCCCACTGGCAGAGCCTGATCAGCAACTGAGCAGGAGCCAGCAAACAGGAATTAAAGGCAGGAGAGTACATTAAACACTGAAGGTGAATTCACACTTTCCATGACTTGCTGTGGTAGAAGAGTCTTCCATGTGTCCATACGGTCCCAGCAGAAACGACGACACAAAACAAACAAAACCCACCAGCTCATAAACATGCTCTCTCTCTCAGCCACCTACATCATCCAGTTGTACAAAAAGTATGCACTGTATGCCTGAGAAGCCTTCATGATTCTAGAAAGTACTACTAGATCTTAAGAAACATGATCATTTCTAATATAGACAAGAAACATAAGATATCTATTAACTGTGCTCACTTATATACAGCTGAGGTAGATAAAGAGCAGGGAAATATTAATTTTTATACCAATGTTTCTATGTAACACTGGGACTGAATTACTAGTCTCTTTAAAATCTACTATATTCTGGACAAGGATGTGCTTCAAATATTGTGCTGCTTTCTAGCCTGACCCCCACCCCCCCTGAGGTTGAAAGCTTGTGGTCTGGCAAGCAAACTACCAGATGTGTCCCAAGCTTATCAGATTTAAAGATTTAGACTGTAAAAATCCTGAGGATCTACTTCTGTGTGGAAAATTTACAGTTATTTTTAGCATACCCGTGTAGCTATTTTCAAAATGGGCTGGCTGGCTCATAAACACACCAGTTTTCTTCAGTCTGTGTGCAAAAAGAACCACTCACAGAATGAACTTGAATGTCCACTGCAGATAAATACGGGGTTTCATAACAAATCATTGGGGGGGAGAGGTTGATCACTTAACTAGCAAGTCACAGTCCCTGTTTGTCCAAACTCAGAGACATGGAGAAAGATACAGTGGGTCCAGTTCAGCAATCTGTAAAAGGTTGAATCTTACTCCTTTACTCACTTTTACTGTTCCTTTCCTGACTTCATTGCAAAAGCAGGTCAGACATCTCCTGTACCCATGCACACAGCTGCTTTATCTTCCTTACACACACATCTAGCCTTCAACATGGCAATGCATTGAGAGAGGGAGTGAAAACGTTGAGTGGTACAGGTACCTGAGTTTGTTGGCTAGCAAAGCACTCAGACGTGGCCAAAATGCTAGTGTGGAGGATAAGACCAAGAGGTGTCCATGGAGACCACAAGAAACAATGTTGATATTTGGGGGGGGGGGTTTGCAAGATAGGGACAGGAAGCAGTAGATGGTGCCTCCTGAGGCAGGAAGAACAGTGTGGGTCTGAGGGAAACTGCCTCAGGTTGGAGGGCCACACAGAAAAAGCTCAGGGGCTGCATGTGGGCCGCAGGTTGAAGCCCCCTGTTCTATACAGAGGTGATATTAAAACAACATGAATATGATCAGTTAATAAAGTAATACAAAAGAGATCTAGACGCACCGGAAGGAATATGGTTGTCAAACACCCTTTTAACCTGTCTCATAATCCCACAAAGAAAAGGCCAATGAAGCCAAACATCTATCAGGTTATAAAAATCAAGCAAAGAACAAAAGGAGTGCAATTATTTTCTCACAATAAACAGCTGTCTTTGCAATGGTGCTGCTGAACGACTGCCGAGTTCTATAGTAGCATTTTCAAGGCGTGTACAATTTTGTGGTGGATAAAAGATACCATAATTTATTATTTATCTCAAAGATTGCCCCTAAAACTAACAACTCCATGTAAGATTCTCAGTTAATGTTACCTTTGGATGGTCAGGCTGGAGGAAGAGCCACTTAAGCTGAAGGAAGCTCCTTGAGCTGCAGGAAGGTTTCAGATTTTGCTCAGTGGAGCAGGAGGCTATAGGCCCCTGAGTGACAACAGTCACCTTTGTGGAGACTACTGAAAAATGCTTCCACATAGCAACTTTACCACATCATTCCCATATAGAAACACTAGCCTGCTACCCGTGCTTCGCTACGGTATTTAAGTCCTGTAAATCCAGTTATAATACTGATGATGTGAAACTTGAAATGTGACATTTGTTGTAGGAATTCTAATGGAGAAGATTGTAGTGTAAGAAATGAGTTCTAATGGAG